TATATATTTCATCCTTCGCGATTTTTGAAGGGTTTAGCCATTTTTGAACTCGGAATTGGGAGCTTTGGGCGATTTTGAAGAGAGGAATCAAGGGACTTCGTTAAGGTAAGGATTTTTGGACCTAAAACACACTTCTATGGAATTATTTCATGGATTTAGACTGAAATTAAAGGAATTAAAGGGCTAAAAATGGAGGTTTAGGGCTTGATTTTAAGAGGGCTTAAATTGAGGATTTGAGGGGTCATTTGAACTCCAATTCTTGTGTTTTGATATGTATGAACTCGTGGGGAGACGAGGAATCTAATGATGTGAAAATTTATGAGTTTCGAGAAGTGGGCTCGGGGCTCGGGTTTTGCCAATTCGGGAGTTTTGGTACTTTTCGATTGTTTTCGCTTGGGCTTTGTTCTCTTAGCATATTATGACGTATTCGTTCTGATTTTGGTTAGATTCGATGCACGAGGAGGCCGATTCGAGGGGCAAAGGCTCGCGAGCTAGAGATTTAGCCGGTCGAGGTGAGTAATAATTGTAAATGATGCTTTGAGGGTTTGAAACCCCGGATTGCACATCGTAGTGCTATATTGAGGTGAGACACACATTTGATGGCGAGCGAGGGGTCGTGCACTATTGGGGATTGTGACTTGGTCCGTCCCGATTGATGATTTTACCGTGTATTTGATTGGAAATTATTTGCTATAATTATTATTTGGGGTTAATGTCATATTTGGTCCTAGTGCCAACTATTTGAACCCTTCGGGGATTTTTATTACTGTTTCCTCACTGTTTTGACTTATTACTTGAACTCAAACATGTTGTTTTCCACTGTTTTACTACTCAACCATTTTTACTTAGTTTTGAGACTTCAATGAAATTTTAAATGATGTTTTGGGCTGAGAACTACTGTTTTACTAATGCCCGAGGGGCTTGTGATGATTTTTGGACTGATTACGGCCGAGGGCCAAATGTAAGGATACACTGATACTGATACGAGGCCGAGGGCCTAAGATACATATATACGCCATGAGGTGGCTTGACTGATATGAGGCCGAGGGCCTAGATTTGATGCCACGAGATGGCTTGATATTGCGCTTGGGCCGTAAGAGGCCCCTCCCGGAGTCTGTACACCCCCAGTGAGAGCGGGTACCCATTGTGATGTGAGATTGAGCCCAAGGGGCTGGTATTGTTCTGAAATTGAGCCCGAAGGGCTGGTACTGTTCTGAGATATTGCCCGAGGGGCGGATTTGTGGATACTGAGCCCGAGGGGCGAACTTCTATTTGTTCACTTATCTTAATTATCTGTCAATTACTTTTTTTACTTGTTGAAAAAGGGATTTTACTTGATTCTTCACTGATTTACTCTTTTTAAGTGATTTTACTGCTTCAGTATAGAATGCCTTGTGTTTTACGTGTTTTCTTACCTTCAGTCATTATTTATATTTATTACTCACTGGGTCGGAGTACTCACATTACTCCCTGCACCGCGTGTGCAGATTCAGGCGTAGCAGGTCCCGCTCCTGAGTGTTGATCCCCTCAGTCCAGGCGGTGTTTGGAGACAACGAGGTAGTTGTTGGCGTCCGCAGCCCCTGTGTCTCCCTTATCTTATTATTTCTATGTTCTTCAAACAGTCGTACCAGATATTGTATTTACTAGACTCGTATCAGTATCCTTTGTTGCTCATGACTTGTGACACCCCGGTTAGGGCTGTGTCGGGTTGGATTTCCGCTTTGTTAGCTCTATTTCCGCTAATTGTGCTATTAAATTATGTTTGAACTATTCTTATGCTATTTAACTGCTTAAAAGGACGAATTGTGTTAGACAGGCTGGCTTTGTCTTCATGAGAGGCACCATCACGACCGGGTTCGGGGTTAGGGTCGTGACAGCTGCCTATTTCCGTGCATGTGTAGTCGGTGGTGCACTCGTCGGGATCCGAGGTCCTGTCGCATCTAGGGAGTTCCGGCGTTCCGAATTTTCGTGAAGCGGGTTCCGGGACCGCTTCCCCGGGAGATAACTATTGCATGAACCTCCACAAACCTGACTCGATTCTCTTGGAGAGATCCTCCAGCGTCTTCGTTGTGGAAGGATCTATTATTGATCCGTTGTTGCTTGATCTTTTGGGTACTCGTTCGGCGTAGGAAACCGTTTTCGACGCTACTGTGCTGGGAATACCCGGATGGCTCTGCAACTGAGCGATAGCCAACTGTTATGCCTGCAATATTTCAAAAATGTCATGAAAACTAACTTCCTGTGTTTCCCGAGCCGGGGTTTGTTGGGCTTCCTGTTGGTCGATATGCTGAATGCTCCCATCGGTTTGTGAGGCCTCGTCGACCTGATGCGCGCCTCGCGAACCTGCGTCCGCTAGGATTAGCTCAGATGCGTTATTGGGGTTCCACAGCGTCGTGCCAACCACTGGAATAGCCTCACCGTTTCCGCCGTGATTTTCGGGGTAGTTGTTCTCGACTCTATTTACCGAGCCAGACATTTTGACCTGAAATCAAGAGATCTTTGGACAAGAAAAAGTATGAAAGATAATGTGCGTTTGTGCAATGAAACCAGCAAGAAAATAATCACTATTATTTTTAGCCCCACGGTGGGCGCCAAACTGTTTACCGTGAAAATGGTAACATAATTAAATTTGTAAATGGGATTCTAAAAATACGTGATCTATTCCCGAGCTAGTTGTTAGAGCAGTTGATGCTAATAATATGGAGTTTAAAGATTAAATGCAAGCTAAAACGAGATAGTAATCGAACCGAAGGGCCTGCTACCCGGGTATACGTCTGGTCGATGGGAGACCTCGGGGTCAACGTCAGGGTCGGATTCGAGCTATCGGGGATGGGATAACAGTTGAACATATAATTAAACAAGGCTCCTTACGACCAATACTAAGCTATATGATGAAGAACAAGTAAGAGAGATGGATATTAAAGTGACCTCGAGCCAGTGAGAACGAACAAGTTAGAAAGAAAAGAGAGAGAGAGAGAGAGAGAGAGAGAGAGAGAGNTAACATCAGCCTTTTACAAGGTAGGGTGAGTCCCCTTTATATAGGAGGGGAACTCGGCTACAAGTACATGGGCATTAATTACAAAGTATGGAGATAGGTTGGCCTGATGCGATGCCTCAGTATAGGCTCTGGATAGGTCGGCCCTGTCAGACTCAGCAGTGTGCTTTGGGAGCTTCCCCCTCTGTCCTGGCTTCGATCTCCGTCTTCTTTGAGTCGAGCCTCGACGAGCCCGAGGTCGGGAACTCGGTCGTGGCTTCCTGTCCTCGGGGTCTCGAGGCATTCTTGCGAAGTGACTTGAGAGCGAGACATCAAGTCCTTTGATTTTTTCGCGTACAAAGGGTAAACAGTAATGTTAACACGAGGTTGGAGGTTTGGAAGCAGACTCTAGAGTATAAAGGTTTCAAGTTGAGCAAGACCCAAATAGAATATATGGAATGCAAGTTCAGTGATGTGACCCATGAAGCGAACAGGAACGTGAAGCTTGATATACAAGTCATCCCCAAGAGAGGAAGTTTCAAGCACCTTGGGTCAGTAATCCATGGAAATGCGAGATTGACGAGGATGTCACACATCGTATTGGAGCGGAGTGGATGAAGGTGTTTTGTGTGATAAAATTGTGCCACCAAAACTTCTATAGAGCGATGGTTAGGCTGATTATGTTGTTTGGGGCAGAGTGTTGGCTGGTCAGGAACTCCCATATCCAGAAGATGAAGGTAGCAGAGTGAGGATGTTGAAATTAATGTGCGGGCATACTAGGACCTAGGGGTGTACAAAGGAAACCAACAAATCGCACTAAACCGATAATCCGAGTCAAACCGAGAAAAAAAATCCGACTATGATTTGGTTTGGTGTTAGAAAAAAAATTCGACCATAATTGATTTAGTCATGTAATTAATACTTAGTACTTATTAGTCGTACTTATTTTAACATGATTTAGTACTTAGATTATGTTTATTTTTATTATGGCTTATCAATTAGCAATATTTATCTTATGCTATTTGTTGAATATTTTAGTATAATTATGACTCATCTCACATTATTTTGTATTATTTTATTGGATAACATCTTATATAGTTTTATCCTACTAATATTAGAGCACAAATTATAAATTTTATGCTATGAAGATTTTATCAGAAAAAAACCCGAAAAAATCAAAAAATCCGAGAAAAATCGTGATTGAAAAACCCGGCTTTTATTGGTTTGGTTAGGTAATTGCAAAATCTGAACCAACCCGACCTATGTACACCCCTAACATGGCCCTTGATAGGAGGATGCGGAAATCGAAAATTAGGAAAGAAGGTTAGATAGTTGAATGTTTTTCTCGTCCATACCAGTAATATTAGTGTTAGTATTGTATTTTCTTAGTCGTAGATTTCTATTACTATTTATTCTCTCTTTTGCTTTTATATTCTTATAACTTGATAACTTGTGTTATTGCTTGTTGCAATTGCTTCTTTTTTCATGTTTCTTTGAACGGAAGGTCTACAAAAATAGTCTATTTTCTCAAGATAGGAGTAAGGTCTGCGACTGCGTACGCACCACCCTCCTCAAACCTGACTCGTAGAATTTCACTAAGTTTGTTATTGTGGCATGGGGTTACAAGCGGAATCCTCTCTAAATTTAATTGGAGATTATTTATTTTTTTATCAGCTCAATTACCCACTTTTTTCTTCCCTCGTGTTCGTGAGGTTCGAGGGGGGGGGGGGGGAGGGGGTT